AGTGACTAAGGCTAGCAAAAGAAAAATGGTGTTGGAGAAGAGTGTGAGTACTGCCAAAAGAACAATTATATCTTAGAAAAATTTTAGCCGGAGTACTCTTTGGAGATACAGATGGTGAAGCTTTGTCTTACGTCCTTTGCTCATGTTGCAGGGTGGGCAGGACTTAGAGGGTCATGTAGAGAGGAAGACCTTCAACAAGAAAAACTGACACAACGACTGTAACCATGGCTTCAGGTATGTCAGATGATAAGGATAGCACAGGATAAGGCAGACTTCAGATCCATTTGTTCATAGGGTCACTATGCATAGTGATTGACTTGACAGCATATAACAACAACAGTAACATATTACATGAGATGAGGTTGCTCATCTTTTCCAGAGTTGCTGGTTGAGGTGTCAGAATCCTTGATAATTGGCTTTTCTAGACATTGTGTTAACCCCTATTGGGGGTGGGGATGGTCTGCAGCTATCTTAACTACAGACACATGGTCTTGCCAATCATCAACATCTGTGGGACCAAAATAAGAGAATGCTTTTTATTCTGCGGTGATGGTGGTGGACAGAGGGGGAATAGATTATAGCACTGATGTGAAGAGACTGTGGTAAAGTATAACCAGAGGAACCCTGGAGATAAATTCCACAGTTATTGGTTTTGCTTGATGCATAATTAAAGAAAAAGCTGACTTATAACTGCTCTGAGATAAAGTTTGCTGGATGGTTGAGGAAACCAGAGGCTTCTTGCACTTGTGCTGTTGAAATGAACCTGGACTTTCAGTAACTGAGGAATTTTGCCTTGTTAATCTGGTTTGAGACTGCTAGAGTAAGCATGGACTTGCATTGTGAGATATTCCTTGCCTCCCCAACTCTCCATCCTGTTTCCTCTTAAAAACTGTAAGTAAAGTCTGTGAATCTTGAAGTGAACCATTTACAATGATTTGTAAAAATAGGTTCAGGAGTATGTGGAATGGCATCTCTTACTTTGTAGCTGTTTATACTATGCTATGAACATTGGAGCCCTGGTGGCCTAGTGGCCAGAAGCTGTGCTGCAATTCCAAAGGCATGCAGTTCGAAGTTACAAGCTGCTCCACAGGAGCAGGATGGGCAATCTCCTTCTGTGTGATTAACTGCCTCTGAAGACCTGCAGCGGGTCAGCCATGAGTTGGTTCCAACTCTACAGTACAAAACAAAATGGACATTATTGGTGGGAAAGTTTCCTTTTATGAAGTGGGTGGAAGTCAGTCTCAGCCACCCTCACATTGTATCTGCTCCTTTTGTACTGGTGGATTTGAACTGCTAGAGAAACACCATTTTTGGGTTAGAAACTCAACACCCTACAGACGATGGCCCCAGAGTTGCCCATATAAGTTATATGTGTGTATGTATATATATATATATA